GATATCAAGAAAAAGGGGCTGACCCCTCAAATTAGGGTTTCAGATGGGCCAAAAGTCTTTCATCTATAATTCTTTAACAATCAATAATTTGTAATATATTACTGAAGCAAAGATGCTTATCAAAACGATTGACAACAATATATGATAAGATTCTGATCATATGTTACGTAATAAGGGGTCACAAGGGGCCAGAATGCTAAATCTTTGAGGCTTTATATCTCGAAAAGGGGGAATATTTTGATAAGCAATATTGAACAAAAGATGGTCAGAATAATGTTCTAAATAATATGCACCCTTTCAATTTTTGTCAAACGGCCCCATTAAGGACTTGGAGGGGTGGCCCCTATATATTTCCATTCAGCATATCTCCACAACGAAAAGAAATTTCTGAATAGTTGTTGAACAAAAAGTCTTCAAAATCACAAGATCTTTCATTTGATATCAAGAAAAAGGGGGCTGCCCCTCAAATTAGGGGCTCAGAGGGGCCAAAATTCTTTCACCTCTAACTCTTTAACGATCAGTAATTTGTAATACATTACTGAAGCAAAGATGTTTATCTTAACGATTGACAACAATATATGATAAGATTCTGATCATATGTTACGTAATAAGGGGTCACAAGGGCCAGAATGCTAAATCTTTGATGCTTTATATCTCGAAAAGAGGGAATATTTTGATAAGCAATATTGAACAAAAGATGGTCAGAATAATGTTCTCAACAATATGCACCCTTTCAATTTTGTTAATCGGCCCCATTAAGAACTTGGTGGGGTGGCCCCTAAATATTTCCATTCAGCATATCTCCACAACGAAAAGAAATCTCTGAAAATTTCGTGAACAAAACGTTTCCAAAATCAGAAGACCTTTCAATTGATATCAAGAAAAAGGAGCTGACCCCTCAAACTAGGGGCTCAGAGGGGCCAAAAGCCTGTCATCTATAGCTCTTTGATAATGTTATATAAATCAAAAGAATGAAATCTAATTAGGGAAGTCTATATATTATTATCTTTCAACAAAGATCATAGTCAAAATCATATCTCATCTTATTGAAAAATCGGACGGAAGACCTACTCGTTGCTCGCAACGAGATCTCATCTAGTTATTATTATTATTATTCTTACCGATTTTGTGCACGCAAGTTCTCGGTAACGTCTTGGCCGATTTTCATGAAACTTTCAGATCTGATAGGTATTGATCTGAACCTTATTGGAAATTTTTTTCGTTGATGACGTCACTTTCCATCTCGAGATATTTAGGATTTTCTGATTTTCAGAGGGTCGGCTTGTCCTGGAAACTCCTCCGAAACGACTTAAGATATTGAGTCACGATTTTCAGTGAAGGTAGGGGAAGGTTTGTAGATTTGCAGGCAGGTGTCCAAATCTCTCTAGCGCAAAAGGCGCCGAAGCTCGGTAGGGCTCAAAAAATGTCTCAGAAACATCTCACAAAATTTTACACCTTTTCTTTTATATCTTCAAACATGTTAAGAATTTGTTAAAACATATAGAAGAAAAGTTGTACAGAATGATACGACCTTTCATTTGATATGAAGAAAAAGGGGCTGACCCCTCAAATTAGGGGCTCAGAGGGGCCAAAATTCTTCCATCTTTAACTCTTTAACGATCAATAATTTGTAATACATTACTGAAGCAAAGATGCTAAACTTAACGATTTACAACAATATATGATAAGATTCTGATCATATGTTACGTAATAAGGGGTGACAAGGGGCCAGAATGCTAAATCTTTGACGCTTTATATCTCGAAAAGGGGGAATATTTTGATAAGCAATACTGAACAAAAGATGGTCAGAATAATGTTCTAAACAATATGCACCCTTTCAATTTTTGTCAAACGGCCCCATTAAGGACTTGGAGGGGTGGCCCCTAAATATTTCCATTCAGCATATCTCCATAACGAAAAGAAATCTCTGAATAGTTATTGAACAAAAAGTGTTCAAAATCACAAGACCTTTCATTTGATATGAAGAAAAAGGGGCTGACCCCTCAAATTAGGGGCTCAGAGGGGCCAAAAGTCTTTCATTTCTAACTCTTTAACGATCAATAATTTGTAATACATTACTGAAGCAAAGATGTTTATCGTAACGATTTACAACAATATATGATAAGATTCTGATCATATGTTACGTGATAAGGGGTCAAAAGGGGCCAGAACACTAAATCTTTGACGCTTTATATCTCGAAAAGGGGGAATATTTTGATAAGCAATACTGAACAAAAGATGGTCAGAATAATGTTCTAAACAATATGCACCCTTTCAATTTTTGTCAAACGGCCCCATTAAGGACTTGGAAGGGTGGCCCCTAAATATTTCCATTCAGCATATCTTCACAACGAAAGGAAATCTCTGAATAGTTGTTGAATGAAAAGTGTTCAAAATCACAAGACCTTTCATTTGATATCAAGAAAAAGGGGCTGACCCCTCAAACTAGGGGCTCAGAGGGGCCAGAAACCTGTCATCTATAGCTCTTTGATAATGTTATATAAATCAAAAGAATGAAATCTAATTAGGGAAGTCTATATATTATTATCTTTTAACAAAGTTCATAGTCAAAATCATATTTCATCTTATCGAAAAATCGGACGGAAGACCTACTCGTTGCTCGCAACGAGATCTCATCTAGTTATTATTATTATTTTTCTTCTTCTTCTTCTTCTTCCTGGGTACTTTTTTGTCCGCGAGTGATCTTGTCAACTACTCATCCGATTGAGGTGAAACCTTTTTAGAGTTAATAGGCATGTTATGTAGATATGCGGAATCAAGGTCATTTTTCGCGCACGTGCATGCACGTGCGTGCGCGTGCAATGCGTAAAATGACCAATATACTTGATATAGCTGTAACTTTTATACTTTTTGATGAAATGCTTTGATACTCAAAATATTTATATATATTAAAAGTGTAGACAAGATGACATGGTCATCATGCACATGCATGCATGCATGCATATGCATGCACGTGCGCGCGCGTGCAATGTGTTAAATGACCAATATACTTAATATAGCCATAACTTTTATATTTTTTTATGAAAAGCTTTGATACTAAGAATAAACAGACATATTATAAGTGTAAACAAAATGGCATGGTCATTATGAACATGCATGCAGGTGCGCATGCGTGCAATGCTAAGATGACCAATATACTTGATATAGCCAGAACTTATTTATTTTTTGATGAAATGTTTTGATACTGAGAATATAAAGATGCATTAATAGTATAGATGAGATGACTTGGTCATCCTGCACATGCATTCACGTGCGCACGCGTGAAATGCAAAAAACGATCAATATACTTCATTGCCTTATTTGATGAAGCTTACAGGAAATAAGACACCAAAAGGGTGTTGGGGAGCGTTTGGGGAACATCTGTAGCTGCAATAATGTAGCCCTCTCCCTTTTTTTTTTTTTTTTTTTTTTTTTTTTGGGAGAGGGCTACAACTCCTAAGGATCTCCGTAATGGTGCAAGTGCGGGAGTGATTCACTCCCGCACGAATTTCGGCTTAAATTATCAGTAAATGGCTATTTAATTGACATTTCTTACCTGAACTCCAAAAATGTAGTTATGCAAAACATAAATCAATCCAAACATACACAGAACAATCCATATATCGGTTATTTTTCGTGTATGTCAACATCACAACTTGAATTTATCCGCCATGTTTACTGACCTTGATCGATTTTATTTTGGGACAGCCAATGAGACTAGGGATCTCTAGGGAGCGGATCTCTGTATGAATTACCTTATTTTAGGCATAAATATCGCTGTTTACGAAAAAATGTCACATGGAATAGTTTTAATTATAAATATTTAATGATGCCATACAGCATAATCATTTAGTAACCCCGAAAATCTACTTTACAAAGTAATTTATAATTTTCAAGCGCAAGTCTCAGTGCATCACGCGAGAACTGTCATGGCTTCTGATGAGAGCGACTGGTAAACAAGCAGATTTATTTTATCTGGTTTTCGCGTTTAACGGGCTATGTTGTTGACAGTGAATAAAAATTTCGCCTTTTTAGAAGTAAGTTGAATGTAAAAACAATTTATTTTGCCTGCAGTCGCCCGTATTTAAAAAATATATTTGCACCATTACAGAGATGCTGTGGAATTGTAGCCCTCTCCAGAAAAAATCAGATAAAAAAATCGGAGAGGGCTACATTATTGCAGCTAGAACATCTGTAACGGTCCCCGTTACAATTAAAACTAGTTTTTAACAAATTTAACTTCCCTTTACCCATTTAATTAACTAAGTAGATAGACTTTGTAAATGTCCGATTATAATCGATAATTAGTTAGAAAGAGTAACCCTATCATCAATTATGAAAATCTTACCGATTCCCATCACTAGTTAGAATAAAGTAATTTTTTCCAAAATCTACTTCAACAGTTTCTGATCTGATTTTTTTCCTTGTCAAACAAAAAAACATTACTCCTGTGTATAAGATTTTGAATTAAGAATGAAAGAACGTTCTTTTTCCATACCCTGATAACTGCAAGGTCATGTCTATAACTGTGATATACTATTATTATGTTGATATTGAAGAATCTCTGTGTTGTAAGGATTCAGAGAAATCCCTTAGAGTTAGGGTGGGGCCATACTATGGTGTCACAATTTTTTATGGGAATATAAAGGAGAAAAATCTTTTAAAAATCTTCAGAACAGCAGGGCTAAAGTTACTCATGTAAGCTAATGTAAACAAATACTATTGTCCTATCACTATATTTTGAGTTACACTATTATAGTGTATGATACATGTACTGACTTATTGGATGCAAGTGGTTTATTTACTGTATATGTACTCATTACTTAGTGCAATCATAGTTAAAAGACTATTAGGCACTAGCTTCAATAAAGCCCACCTGTATTTCAATGTAGTGTAATATCTTCATCAACTATTTTGGCAGAATTCTTGTTTTAGCCTAAAAAAGGTAGCACTAACAGGCACAAAAACAGTACATTCTATGCAGCAAAATTTAGGAGTACCTTGCAAACTGCCAAAGAGTATTTCTCAACATCTTTAGGACTAAAGCACACAATATCTGCCCTTGATGAAACTTTTCTATGAAAAATCTCTGTTGATTCCATATCTATTTCAGGCTGTGCCCTGACAAAAATAAGGATGAGACATATTATGACACATGCATGTATTTAACATACTTTTAAATAAATAAAGTGCACTGGCACTACGGCACATGATACATATACACCCATCAAATATTGTTTAAACAGCATACACAGATGAGTGTGCATGGAAAAAAAAAATGTAATGTCAATTTATGTGCAAAGACTTCAATGATTACTTTTCTTTCTAAAGTTTGAGGTGCATCTCCTTCTGTACTAATTCATTAGGCCAAGATAAATAAATAGTGTGTTTCCTCTTCCAACCCGAGAAAAAATAGGGTAGGTAGGCAAAACATTTTATTTTATTTTAACATTTTATTAGTTAAAATTCAAGAGTTCCTTTCTTTTTCCCAAAAGGGAGGCTTACTAATGGCATTTGTTTTTAATGTGTATAGGATATGCATTTTCTCAAACACCAAAGTAGTCAAGATTAGGATTTCTAATAGTGAAGATGGAACTGCTAACTTCCAGAAAAAATATTGGCGAATAAATTTTTCAGGGTTGGCTCATATATTTTAGAGTCAGTCGGGGAACCGGAAACACACACTTTCTTTATCTAGGCCTTATAACAAATAGTACTTGTCACATAAATTTAATGGTTGTAAATAACCAATCTTTAGCTTTGGTCATTGTGATTTTTATTTATAAAGATATCATTTATTTAAACAATACCACAACCTAATACAGTTAATTTGTCATTTTATTATCTGGATTCCAAGTACAAGTACCATGTTTTTCTGTTGCAAGATATGGTCATGACAGGAATATTTTTTTTGAGAGAGATCTTGAACTTGTTTAAATGTCCTCTGATGAAGGTCATGACACATCCATCAGTTAACTGTAATCTTTACAGTTTATTTCAAGAACAATCTTCCTGGACCAACAATTTTTCCATTAAAAAGTTATGATCCAGACATGATATGCATGGAGAGTTAGGGACAGACAGACAAGGCGATTCCTGTAACCCCATCCCCCAAAAAACTTCATCTGTGGTAGGATAATTACAACATACTGTGGCTAAACTTTTAAAGTGCATCATACCTTCTACAAAAGATGCACCTCCAATGCGGTTTGATAATTCAAGGCCTCATAGTGTTTTGTGCCAAACATAAATTAAAAAAGATTTCAGAGAGACAGCCAACAGGCAGACAAATGAAGGGACTGACAGACATAAATGGCTTAAAACAATACAGCTTAATTGTCTAAGACAGAATATTAAAAAAAAAATGGAAAACTGATGATTTTTTAACACTTACATGACTTCGATTCCAAACATCTGAAGAAATTGCTCAAATAGGCACCGATACTTTGCCTCAGAAATAACAGGCTGTTTTCCTTTCAGAACATACCAAAGACTCACTCCAAATTTGTTCACAAATGTTGAGTACTTTGATCTTAAAATAAAAGAATACTATGTTAGAGAAAATGAGCACTTACAGGTATATGTTCCATTGTAATTCATAGACTCTGTCCAAAATACCTTAGAAAGATGATTTCTTTTACCATACAAGCATAAATCAATGTGATTGACTTGTGGAAAAAAGTTTTAATGAAATCAAAGGAGGTATAGCCTTTTGAAGAACTTAACAGAAAATTCAATCTGTTTTTAGAAACCTCGGCAACACCCTTCATTGAAATCAAAAACAGAATATATATATACAGAATTATGTGTCTCATTTTGGCCTACTTGTGCACTAAGTTATATTGAAATCAGACAGTTTTAAAACTGTAGGAGAATTAGTGATTCCTTGTGAAATTAGATTTCAATTTCTAAAATTTTAAGTACAGTGATAATGTAAAACACCAGTATACATAGAAATGCGATATTTTAAAAAACTGCTAATTTCAGAAACTTTCAATTTTTATTTTTATATTCATCCAGACAGACAAAACACAAAGTATATCATCCTGAAACCGACAGGGATAGACATTAACTTTTAGATTCACTTGTCCTTCGGGCAAGTGATCTCAGACTTGGACTTGTCCGAATGCAAAACTTGGTTGCCCAAAATTAGGAAAGAAAAATATTATTTATTACTGTAAACTGAGAAGAAAAAATGTGACCAAATACACTACTGTCAACTTGGCAAGTTGAGCTACATAAAAAAGTAATTTCGATGCTTCGTTTGTACATGCATGTGTATCACTGTCCTTGTCAATTTAATATGTTAACACACTGCCATGCAACATTATCCCTCCGTTTTCTTTTAATAAACTTCATATTTTTAAAAAATAATTTCTGTAGAATCCTTTTGTGAAACGTGATTTTCAGAGATAAAAAGCAACAGTAAAGGAAGACAACTGCTATGAAACATACATATCTGGATTGGCATACATCGTGTTACTTATATTCTGTGAATGAATTTCCTAATTAGAAGTTAACAAATTTGTTATAAGTAGAGCGTATTTATCACGAAAGAAAACAGAATAATGAACCCGATTTTTAAATGGTCCGTATATTCTAGAAACGCTACCAAGGATTTCCTAATGTAAATCAATGTCAGGTATCTGGCGGAAGTGAAGATTCTATTTATTGTTTAATTTATAAATTAATGTAAGCTGACTAAATTTGTACATTTCTATGAGAAAAATTCACTTGCCCGATCGGACAAGTACGTTGACAGTTTCACTTGCCCGAAATGAGGATTTACTTGTCCCGGGCAATCGGACAACCGTTAATGTCGATCCCTGACCGAGTCCATACATTCTCAAGTATTTCAAGTGAGAAAATCAAAATAATTAAAACCGAAATGTCTTTTTTGTGAGGTATATGTTTACTAAATTTCCCCAAGTCCTGTTCAAATGCACCTTTTCTTTGTTTTCATTTGTGGCCGTCAGACGAGTTAGATTGCTAGTGGCCAGATAGCTCAAGTGAATGCGGGTGGGTTATGTTCCGATTACTTGTTCGATCCGTGTGGTTTCGACACGAATCCATGCTTGACCAGGGTGGTTTCATTCTTAAGCAATTAATTAACAATTAATTGCTTCGGAATGAAATTAATTAATACTTTCAACAGTTTTACATTTTATTTTTTCGTCTACATTTTTTTTTATACCCACCATGTATATTTTAATCATTTCAATATAGTGTTAATTAAATGCATATTATGTGATCACAGTGCATTTGAAGAAGTATTTGATTAATTTTTAGGGAAAACTGTTCAAATAGAGTAGGTCAGAACCACTCAGGTCGAACATGGAATCGGAACGTATTCACCCGACACCGCTCAAGTGGTAGAGCACCTAACTGGAGATTAGGGGGCCTAGGTTTGAATCCCGGTCTGCTCCATGGCATTTTTCTCCTCTCCTGTTACATTTGGTGCCATGCCATGCCCTGGAAGTGACAGGTGAAAGACCTGCCAGGGAAGAGTCTGGGTTTGTCTACTGGGGCTGAAGACCTTTTAGGAGAGAGGAATGTGGCGGCCAAATCGCCAAGTGGCCAGATAGTTCAGCTGGCAGAGCACCTGACTGGAGATTAGGGGGCCCAGGTTTGAACCCAGGTCTGGTCCATCGCATTTTTCTCCTTTCCCATATTACACTGGTCTGGTACAATCACTAGATTTAGCTACGTAGGTGGAATTACCTACATAGCTTTATTTACCTACCTGAAGTAGCTTTATTTAGCTATTAAATCAAACTTATTTCTTAAATTAGCATTTTTCCCAGAAAGTGCAGAAAATTGCACTTTGTTGCAGTGATAATTTTCAACTTTGAACTCATCTGAAAACAATTCATGAAAAAATCACTCTTGAAAATGTGTCTTTTTCTGCACAATTGCAATCAATGTTCTAAAAGATTTGGGGCTATATACAACAGTTAATTTGTGATCAAACAGTTACAGTTAATTTGTGACCAAACAGTTACTTCTTGAATGAAATAACAAAGGAAACCAGTTCTGGTTAACACAAGCACAATGAGAAGCAATCATACTTACCCATGCCTCATCACACACAAGGTGGTGTACAGTTACTCAAGCAATGAAAATACATATTTTCCTTAAAAGTGTTCAAATGCAGCAATGTTAAAACTATCTCTGCTTTAGATTGCTTTTTAAATAATACATAGAATAAATATTACTAGGCATTTACTTGCGACTTTTCGTCTTTTTAAAATAAAAAGCAAAATTTTGAAAAGGTGCCTTGAAATAGCTAAATAAAGCTACCTGAGGTAGATAAATAAAGCTACCACAGGTAATTTTAGCTACGTAGCTAAATGTACTGATTGTACTGGACCTGTTACACATTAACAGTCGATGTGAAGGAAATAACCATCATGTGGTCAGCAATATAGACTCCGACGTTAGTATCTGACCACCAAACGGGATTACACAACTGTTTGGTCGAATTAGGAAAAATATTAATTAGGCATATTTCTAAACATCTAACAAACCAAACTAATAAAAAACATCAACCAAGCACTGTGATTTGAGGCAGTCTTGGAAATTAAAAAAAATTACAAAACCTTTCATCTGCAATACTTACATGTTGATTTCCTTGAGCGTAACGCTGTATCGCAGGTTTTCCTCTACTGGCTTGACGAAATTGAGACCTTTAAAATTGATCTCATGTAAATTCTCATGGTTAAGATTATTAAGACTTCCCAAGATATCTGCTACTTCCTCAAGATTTTTTATTTCATCACGCATAAGATTATATGCTACAACGGACATGTGCTCAGTGATAATATCAGTTGGCGATTTACGTTCGAAACGCATTTCAAGTTTTTCAAGTAAATCACCACTTGAGGTTTCGGAACATCCCGCCATCTTGCCCCGAAGTGTAAACACAGGTGTTGCGCATGTGCATTCGTAGGTTTAGCTCCCTTCGCCCCTGGCTTTCTGTTCGACCTGGGTCTATTTGTCCCAGAACTTTTTGAATCTTGCATGGCATTCAGATAAAATGGCTCAAACCACATAAAACATCTCTTAACATTATAAGCATATTTGAAAGCTATGTTTTTTTAATCAACAACACAAATTGAAAATTTACATGCAGTCTATTTCCCGACATCTGTCTACAAGACGGTTAGACCTCAGTAAAAGGCAATGGGGGAAGAAGATCATCGACGAAAATGCTGAGAGAGGAACGAACGACAACTCCGCATAGGAGATTGGAAAACGTTAAGAACGTGATTGAGAGTGCTCAACGTCACACAAAGTTCAGAACCGTACAACGTGGGGGCCGCGGGGGGATGGGGCACTTTTTCTGAGTTAGCTGAGTTGTTATTTTGCTATAGTAAATTTTCCTTTACATGCTGGTCCCCCCATCCCACTTTTTATTGCAGTAAGGTCGAGCAGTGGCAAATTCCAGGATTTAGAAAGTTTATTAAGTTTTTGTTTTTAGGGTCTTCCGTCTCCAACGGAAGACCCTTCTATTATTGTATTGTTTCTTTTTCACTTTTATTATTAGGGTCTTCCGTCTTCAGCGGAAGACCCTTCTATTATTCTTATGTTTCTTTTTCACTTTTATTATTAGGGTCTTCCGTCTCCAACGGAAGACCCTTCTATTATTCTATTGTTTCTTTTTCACTATTATTATTATTATTTTTTTCTGTCCAAATTTTGTGCAGACGATTTCTCAGAGATGGTTGGATGGATTCACTTGAAATTTTCAGAGATGATGTATCATGATGTAAACCTAATACATTTTCTTTAATTTTTGGAAATTCACTTCCGGTCGGAAGTTATCGCCCTTTAATCGAATTTTTAGTGACCATTTTGTCTACACAAAAACTCAAAAATGACAAAAGCTAGAGTGCTGAAATTTTCAGTGATAATAGAGGACATGTTGTAGTTGTGCACCTCAGTTTTCAAATTTTCCGGAAATGCCTAGTATGGAAGCTCGGTAGGGGTCAAAATTTAGGACATGAATCAGGAGTGAATTTTCGAGACATTTTTTATCATATCTTCAAAACAATAAATATTTTCTTAAAACATATTGAACAGAAATTGTGTAGAATAATAAGATCTTTTTTATGATATCAAGAAAAAAGGGCTGACTCATCACATTAGGGGCCAAGAGGGGCCAAAATTCTTAAATCCATAACTCTTAAACGATCAATATTTTGATATACATTACTGAAGCAAAAATGTTTATCTGAACAATCTACAACTATATATTATGATAAAAATCTCATATGTTACATAATTAGGGGCCATAAGGGGCCAGAATGCTAAATCTTTGACGCTTTATATCTCGAAAGTGGGAAATATTTTAATAAGCAATATTGAACAAAAGATGTTCAAAATAATGTGCTAAACAATATTTAACCTTTCAATATTTGCTAAGCGTCCCCATTAAGGAGTTGAAGGGCCGGCCCCTATATATTTCTTTTGCATATATCTCGGAAACGAAAAAAAAATTTCTGAATAGTTGTTAAACAAAATGTGTTCAAAATCATAAGAGCTTGAGGGTGATATCAAGAAAAAGGGACTGGCCCCTCAAAATCGGGGCCGATAGGGGCCGAAAGTCTTTCATCAATAACTTTTTAACGATCAATATTTTTTAAAATATTACTGCAGCAAAAATGTTTATTTGAGCAAACTACAACTATATATTATGTTATTCACATCATATGTTACATAATTAGGGGTTGTGAGGGGCCGAAATACTAAATCTTTGACGCTTTATATCTCGATAGTGGGAAATATTTTGCTAAGCAATATTGAATAAAAGATATTCACAATAATGTTCTGAACAATATGTAACCTTTCAATATTTGCTAAACGTCTCCATTAAGGAGTTGAAGGGCCGGTCCCTAAATATTTCTTTTGCATACATCTCGAAAACGAAAAAGAATTTCTGAATAGTTGTTGAACGAAAAGTGTTCAAAATCATAAGAGCTTTAAGGTGATATGAAGAAAAAGGGGCTGGCCCCTCAAAATAAGGGGCGATAGGGGCCGAAAGTCTTTAATCAATAACTCTTAAACGATCAATATTTTGTAATACATTACGAAGGCAAAATAGATCATCTTCACTTTCCTTAACTATATAACATGTTGGTGGCATCATATGTTACGTTATAAGGGGACATTAGGGGCCAGAATGCTAAATCTTTGACGCTTTATATCTTGAAAGTGGGAAATATTTTGATAAGCAATATTGAATAAAAGATGTTCACAATAATGTTCTGAACAATGTGTATATTGTAACCTTCAACTTTTGCTAAACGTCTCCATTAAGGAGTTGAAGGGCCGGCCCCTAAATATTTCTTTTGCATATATCTCGGAAACGAAAAAGAATTTCTGCATAGTTGTTGAACAAAAAGTGTAGTAGGGGCCAAGACGGGCCGAAAGTCTTTAATCTATAATCTTTAATGATCAATTTTTTTGTTATAGAATACTGAAGCAAAATTGGTCGTCTTAACAATTTATTTATATCATTATATTTGAACGAAAGTCTCAGTCAAATTCTTATCACATCTTATCAAAAATCGGACGGAAGACCCACTCGTTGCTCGCAACGAGATCGCATCTAGTTATTCTTCTTTTTTTTCTCCTTACCGATTTTGTGCAGAAGATTTCTCGGAGATGAATTGATCGATTTACTTCAAATTTTCAGAGTTTATGTCTTATCATCTGAAGTTTGTACCGGCAATTCAAAATTTGAAAAATCACTTCCGGTCGGAAGTTATCGCCCTTTTATTAAAATTCAGAGGACCTCCTTGTCTGCGATGGAACTCAAAAACGGCTTAAGCTAGAGCGCTGAAATTTTCAGTGATGATAGAGGACATGTTGCCATTATGCACCTGGGTTTAGATATTTTCCGGAAGTGCCTAGTATGGAACCTCGGTAGGGGTCGAAATTTAGGACATGAATCATGAATGAATTTTTGAGACATTTTGTATCATATCTTTTAAAGTATAATTATTTTGTTAAAACATACTGAACAATATTTGTGCAGAATGACAAGATCTTTAATACGATATCAAGAAAAAAGGGCTGTCTTATCATATTAGGGGCCGAGAGGGGCCGAAAGTATTAAATCAATTACTCTTTAACGATCAATATTTTGGTATACATTACTGAAGCAAAAATGTTTATCTTAACAATTTACAGCTATATGTTATAATATTTTTGTCATATGTTACATAATTAGGGGCCATAAGGGGCCAGAATGCTTAATCTTTGACGATTTATATCTCGAAAAGGGGAAACATTTTGAAAAAGAATATTGAACAAAAGTTGTTTAAAATGATGTTCTCAACAATGTTCATCCTTTTAATTTTTCCTAAACAGCCCCTATAAGGACTTAAAGGGACGGCCCCTTAATATTTCAAGTCTACATATCTCTTAAAGGAAAGGAAATTTCTGAATAGTTGTTGAACAGAAAGTCTTCAAAATTACAAGACCTTTTATGTGATATCAAGAAAAAGGGGCTGACCCCTCAAATTAGGGGCTCAGAGGGGCCAAAAGTCTTTCATCTATAACTCTTTAATGATGAATATTTTGTTATAAGTTATTGAAACAAAAATGTTTATCTTAACATTCTGCAACTATATATAATAAAATTTTGATCATATGTTACGTAATAAGGGGCCATAAGGGGCCAGAATGCTAAATCTTTGACCCATTATATCTCGAAAAGGGGAAATATTTTGATAAGCAATATTGAACAAAAGATGTTCAGAATAATGTTCTAAACAATATACACCCTTATAATTTTTGCAAGACATCCCCATTAAGGACTTGGAGGGCTGGCCCCTAAATATTGTTATTCTATATATGTCTTAAACGAAAGGAAATTTCTGAATAGTTGTTGAACAAAAAGTCTTCAAAATCACAAGACCTTTTATTTGATATCAAGAAAAAGGGGCTGACCCCTCAAATTAGGGGCTCAGAAGGGCCAAAAGTCTTTCATCTATAATTCTTTAATGATCAATATTTTGTTATAAATTACTGAAGGAAAAATGCTTATCTTAACAATCTGCAACTATCTATTATAAAATTTTGATCATATGTTACGTAATAAAGGCTATAAGGGGCCAGAATGCTAAATCTTTGACGCTTTATATCTCGAAAAGGGGATATATTTTGATGAGCAATGTTGAACAAAAGATGTGCAGAATAATGTTTTAAACAATATGCATCCTTTCGCTTTTTACAGATGAATATCTCAGTCAAGATCTTGACTAATCTTATCCAAAATCTTACGGAAGACCCACTCGTTGCTCGCAACGAGAACCATCTAGTTATTATTATTATTATTCCACTTTTTCTTTACAATTTTTGTGCAGAAGATATCTCGCAAACGGTTCGATCGATTTTCATGAAATTTTCAGGGGTAATGCCATTTGATCTGAAGATGATCCTTTTTTGTTCAAATCCTTAAAATTCACTTCCGGTCGGAAGTTATCGCCCTTTAATCGATTTTCAGATAACCATTTTGTCGACTCAAAAACTAAAAAACGGCAAAAGCTAGAGCGCTGAAATTTTCAGCGGTTATAGACGACATGTTGAAGTTTTGCACCTGAGTTTTCAAATTTTCCGGAAGTACCTAGTATGGAAGCTCGGTAGGGGTCGAAATTTAGGACATGAATCAGGAGTGAATTTTCGAGACATTTTTTTTAATATCTCTAAAACTATAGAGATTTTCTGAAAACATATTGAATAGAAATTGTGTAGAATTACAAGATCTTTTATATGATTTCATGGAAAAAGGGCTGACTCATCACATTAGGGGCCGAGAGGGGCCGAAAGTCTTTAGTCAATAGCTCTTTAACGATCAAAATTTTGTAATGCATTACTGAAGCAAAAATGTTTAACTC